GGAAGTGGCACTATTAGGAGCTGTGGCCTTGTTGGAGTAGGTGCAGTCTTGTTAGAAGAAGTGTATTACTGTGGAGGTGGGCTTTGAGGTCTCATACATGCTCAAGCCATGCAACTTCCTGTTGCCTGCAGGCCAAGATGTAGGACACTCGGCTACTTCTCCTGTACCACATTGATGTGGGATTCCCCTCTGTATGCTGCAAATACCGTTGGTTAATAAAGAAAATGCTTTGGGCCTATTGCAGCACAGATTAGGGCAAGGCAGGAATTTCAAGCAGATAGAGGAGGAGAAAGAAGCTGGAGTCAGGGAGAAGCCATATAGCTGCCAGAGGAGACAGATACCAGAACTTTGCCTGGTAAGCCACAGCCACATGGTGATACACAGAATAATAGAAATGGATTAGTTGGATTAGTTTAAGATATAAGAGTTAGCTAGAAATATGTTTAAGCTATTTGCCAAACAATATTACAATTAATATAGTTTCTATGTGTTTATTTCAGGTCTGGGCAGCCAGGAAACGAATGTGTGCCCTCTGAGTACAGATTGGCATGCTAATGTGGTGCTGACTACATCCACATAAAACCTGAGAAAGCTTGGAAAGGAATTCTAAACACAAAAGAACAGAGTTTGTAGCATACCATGCCCGTCTGTGCTCAATGCACTACCATACAGTTCGTGAACTGGGCACGGGACTGGAGATTGAAACACACAAAGACTCACAGACAGAGACACAGGTTATCCTTGATGCCAAAATGTCCTCAAGAACATTTATTGTGTATCAGAGCTGCTTATATAGAGATACTTAACTGATAGCCACGCCCCAGCCAAACCTACCAGAAACCATTCTCCTGCCATCAGGAACTTCTGAGGGTCTCGTGCTCAGAGCAGTGTAGGCATTACAAGTTGTTTACCAGAAATTCAGGATCTGGGGAGTTCATAGCTCCCAACAGAGTTAATCAGGACTTCTTGGTAACCAACATTTTTTTTCCAGATGGGCTTTGTTTGCTGGCAGTGAGCAGGGATGCCGCAGCTCCTTTAAGAAAAGGCTTACTGACTCAGCAGAAGAAATGGTGGCCTCCGGGTTCATGCTGCCAGTACAAACACAGACTTTTTCAGGAGGTTGAGCACTTGAATGGGGTTGTGAGCAGCATGTTACAAACTGCTTAATGGTGCAACATAGACTCACTGCATACCTGGAACTGGGGTGGTGTACATGGCTTGCAGAGGCGGTGAACATGCCTCTGTCATGTTGGACTGGGCAGAGCTAAAAGGCAAAGCAGCCTGGGTCCTAACCTGCCACTTAGTATTTTAAGAAGCGGTCCTGGTCAGAAAAGGATTACAGATGTACAATTAAGACAGATTCAGATGAAATAGACCTCTAAATGGGTCACAGTGTTAAATAAATATACATAGGCTTGAGAGAGAGAGAAAGAGAGAATATAAAAAATAATAAAACAGTATTTAAGGAGACAGAGTAAGACAGTCATAGATTAAAAGAGTAAAGAAAAATAAGCACTTAAAATGGAAAATACACAGAGAATCTGGATTATGTATATTATTGTGTTTTCTTTGAATTTTTTGACTGTGAATGACCTAACTACAGAGAGACATTTTATTGTATGGGCTGCTAAGCTAAATCAACATATATACTTTAAAGATATCTTGTCTTCAAAATTCGGGATTAAGGATATGTTGTTTTGGAAAAGAGGTTCTTCTTTTGTTTCCACAGAGGATGAGAACCTGTGGATTCCTTCCAGACCAATGTGGTTTGATGGAATAAAACCCCCTGAAAGGTCTCTGTAAACCCATAAAAATACTTCACCCAAAAAAATAGCAGTAAGTAGTAGTAATTCCCAAATATTGTTTATAAATGTTTGTTTACATTTAAAGGGGGATATGATATAGAGATGAATACTTTGCATTTGTATGGATCTTTGTTTATTGATAAAATTTAAGGTCAGTTTTGTTATATGTTTATTTCTGCTCTTGATGAAGGTGTGTGTTTGTGCAGTTCATTTAAAAATGTAATGTATGATTAAGAAATATAGGTTAATACATAGTCATCTATAATAGTCAACCTTTTAGTCATGTTAGGTCTTCTAGATATATAGAGATATCTTTCAGTTAGATAGATAATCTTCAAACCTTTCAGGAACCTTCAGAATATGGCATTTACAATGCTTTAAGAACTTAGGACTTGGGCTGAAGAGATGGCTCAGCGGTTAAGGGCATTGCCTGCTCTTCCAGAGGTCCTGAGTTCAATTCCCGGCAACCACATGGTGGCTCACAACCATCTGTAATGAGGTCTGGTGCCCTCTTCTGACCTGAAGGCATACATGCAGACAGAATATTGTATACATAATAAATAAATAAATAAATATTCTTGAAAAAAGAACTTAGGACTTTTCATGACAATCAGACTCTTCTGTTCCTGGCAGCACCAATCTACTTCAAGAGGATGATGGTCACTAAAGAAACTCTTTATGGAGTTGATTATCCATTTGGGAAAAAACTGTTCTTGCCTGAACTTTTTGATGTTATGCTGCATGAATAGGACATGCAGGACCCACAGGAAAATGACTGCTGAACTTGCCTAAAGGTGAGACATTCCTTCAGAGTTTCTATTTCCTGAAAGAGTCTGCCAGATATTCTGCAGGACACAGAAGAAAGTGACAGAGAAACTGCCAATATAGATGGAACTGTCTTTGAAATTTCCTGCTTCATGGAAAAGTCTGACAGATACTATGGGCTAGTAGGCTGAAGATGGGTACCTGCAACATTAAAGAAGATATTTGGATGACTCTTCAGGCAGTGAGATGTCTCTGTCAATTTTAGAGTTTTGGAAGTTGCTTACAGTGCACTTCCTGTTAACTTAGGTAATATTATATCCTTCTGGAGACTTTGATGGAGTTGAGGAATTTATAGTTATGGTTTTCCTAAGTTATGACAAAATGGTAAAGTAGATATAAATATTGTGACTATAATTCTTGCTTGATAATCATTTTGTTCTATGTAATCTTGCTATGTTAAAGTTAAAACCTTTTTTTATTTAGACAGAAAAGGGGAGGTGATGTGGGATTCCTCTCTGTATGCTATGAATACCATTGGTTAATAAAGAAGCTGTTTTGGCCCTCTTGCAGTACAGAATAGGGCAAGGTGGGAATTCTGAGCAGATAGAGGAGGAGAGAGTAGACAGAGTCAAGGAAAAGCCAAGTAGCCACCAGAGGAGACAGATGCCAGAACTGTGTCTGGTAAGTCACAGCCACATGGTGATACACAGAATAATAGAAATGGGTTAATTTAAGATGTAAGAGATATCTAGAAATATGCTTAAGCTATTGACCAAACAGTATTACAATTAATATAGTTTCTATGTGTTTATTTCGGGTGTGGGCAGCCGACTGCAGTCTCTGCTAACACCATGTCTACCTACATGACACCATGTCATGTCATGATGATAATGGACTAAATCTCTGAAATTTTAAGCCACCCCAATTAAATGTTTTCTTTATAAGAGTTGCTGTGGTCATGGTGTCTCTTAATAGTAATAGAAACCCTAACTAAGATATCCCTCATCCATACTCCTATAAATAATTCCTATAAAGCCATGGGTTCCCTAAGATTAACTTGGGTAGGGTTGTTTTGTTGGTCTATTATTGATATGCTACCCGAGGTGAATAGATGTATGCATGCTTCTTCAGAAAAAGTCATACAGCACGTCTTCACACTTCTAGAGATAGTCTTGATGTCATTGCTTCTAGTCTTTATTGGGTAAATAAAGGATGATCATCTAAAGGGTGTTTACTGACTTCTAACCTGCAGGTCATGACCCCTTGAAAGTCAAATGACCCTTTTACAGGAGTTGTATATCAGAGATCCTGCTTACCACGTATTTACATTTACAATAGAATTTATATTATAATTATAATTCATAACAGTAGCAAAATTACAGTTATGAAGTCACAATGAAAATAATTTTATGATGGGGATTACCACATGGGGAACTGTATTAAAGGGTCATAGCATTAGGAATGCTGAGAACCATATATATATATATATATATATATATATATATATATATATATGTATATAATCCTAATCCAACAGGAATTCCCATGAAACCTAAGTTACTGGTGGCTGGGACTGAGGTGAATAGAATAGTTCTTACTGACAGGAGTTCAGAAACAGATCCAAAGTCCTAAGCTTCGGTTTTAACAGTAATTTTGTGAAAAATAGCCTTTCTGTGTATTGCTCCCTGCATTTTCAAGTTCTCAGGAGAAGGCTCACTGGATCGTGGGGAAATAGTCTATCTTCATTTACTACATGGAGATGCAAGGCATTCTCTGGGTCCTAATTTTTAGTTTCATGCTTTCTCCTTTCCTTCAAACTGATCAGATCTATAAGAAAACTTGAAAAGAGATTTTTTTTCTCATATTTTGGAATATGTGTAGTGAAGAGAAAGGCTAAGATCTTGGCCTGACATCAGGAGAAGTAGTCATGGCCACTCAGGCAATTCCTATAAAGGTGTTATGGTCAGCAAATGATTACTAAACAGCACATACTGTCTGCATTCCAATCCTGATACTGCAGTACTCCAGACTCCCTTTGCTTAAGGCTGAACTTAGTTTTGTGTATTGAGTTAAGTCAGATGGTATACAGACATATGTACAGTAGTTACTCCTGAGTAGAGCGCATGCTTTTGAGTCCACCAGCTCTTTGATAGTTTGACATTTTATGTGCCTAGAGCACTGCAAATTTGCCCTTATTATTTTGAACTGCATCTCCATTCTGATGTAATTTCATAGCAGTTCAATATGATAAATTCATTCTCTTCTCAATAGTCACTTTCAAACTGAAATTTTCTTTAAGAGCAAACCTACCAAAGACTCCGACTAGGTAAGTCTAGCTATAATCCAATTTGACACAGCAAAGCAATCATCTCTCCGGGGCACAGAGCACTCTTGCAACCAGTTCCCTATTTGGTGTAATCTTTGTTCTCATCAGGGGCGAGGACTTCTTTGGTTGACCAGAACAAGTGGTCCTGGCCCCATCTCCTGCCCCACATCTGAGAACTTCTCGCAGTTCTCATCCACTGATAATTTCTCTGAATTGTTCTGTAGTGCAGGTATGGACTTATTCATTTTACCATTTCCAACCATTTGAGTCTTGTAAAGAAGTAGTGAGATTTCTTTTGCAGTTTGTTTGGTTGCTTTTAAGATAGAATATTCTTATTGTCAGACCATCTGAAATGCAAGATCAAGAATAGAAATTCATATTATAAACCCTCACATAATCATTGTGAAGCAGTAGAAAAAGGAAACATTAAAGGCTGCTTACACCACTTTTCATGCTGAATTCAGTACCTAACACGGGAATGGTAGAAAATAAGTCTGCTGTTGGTTTGTGCATATTTCTACCATTAAAATAAGGAAGCACTGATTGTTTTTTAGATTTGATTCCATTATTTTCCTGTAAAATAAAAAAGTAACTGTCACATAGCATTTAATGCACTAATGGGGGATAAAGTAACTCCTCCCACTTCCACATAGTTAACAGCATGTAGATGTTGATGACTGGTTATTTCTTACTCTGATTTTTCCTGGTGTGCCAGGCTATTTCTTTTAGGCCACCAACCAACTCCCAAATCATGCTTAGCCTAGCTTAGGCTTGCTTCTAGTTAGCTTGTTTAACTTACCCTGTTTCTCTTTATCTACCTTTTTGCCTGGGGGCTTTTTACTTTTTTCCTGTCTGTATATCTTATTCTCACTGCTTCTTGGGTCTTTCTCTCTGGCAGCAGCCTGGTTTCTTGCCCTGGGTGTGTCTCTTGTTCTCACCTCCTTCTTATCTCTTATTCTCTGCCTAGCAGCTCTGCCTATCCGTTCTTCTGCCTAGGTATTGGCCATTTAGCTCTTTATTAGAACATTCACGTGCCTTAGGTAGGCAAGGTGATACAAATGCAACACATCTTTACATAATTAAATACACATACTTACATCATGAAACAAATACAGCACAAAAAAGTAACACACCTTTATACAGTTAAAATAATATTCTGCAGCATAAACAAATGTAATGTGTCTTTGCCTAGTTAAAGTAATATCCTACAACATCCTGGTTTGTGTTAAATAGGTTATTTACGTGCTGGTACTTGGTGTTGTATAAATGCCATTATTGGTCATTTTAGTTATGTCTTTGTGTAGTTTCAAAAAGCTGTGTACTTATTTCCTCACATTTAAATTTCTTTTTATTTTTTGCATTTATTCTCTCTCTCTCTCTCTCTCTCTCTCTCTCTCTCTCTCTCTCTGTGTGTGTGTGTGTGTGTGTGTGTGTTGCATAAAGTTACATTCCAGCACCTGTTTGTGATAGAACAGTAAATACCCTTCACTGTCCAGCACATCTTTAATGCTGGCCTTGGTGATGACGGCATCATCACACTTGAACCACTGGTCCCTGTGGTGCCGAATGAAGCTTGTGTAGTGGCCACTCTCCAAGGTTCCTTGGTGATTAACCACAGCAAACAAGGAATACTTATTCTCGTTGTTCCTACTATTGGTTAGCAGTTGCAACTGTCCACTCGTTCAGGTTTCTTTACTTGATGCCATAAATGGTGTCGTATACAGCTCCAGAGGAAAGGAAATGTATGTAGTGATCTTCTGCCTCTGTTTGGCTGAGTGTTCAAATCATTTGAAATGAAAGCAAGCAACAACTGGCAAGTTTGTCATAGTGAGCTGTTTGCTAGATTCTTTGTAGCTTTGGCAACTACCACATTTGATTTTGGCACTGCCTCCTAAGTGCTCTGGCCTTGTAAACCTTCGCAAGCAGTCCATGAGGGTACTAATTAATGCCTGGTATGTGTTTTTCCCCATTCACACTGCTCTCCCTCCATGGGCTCAGAGGCCAGAAGGATGTGCAAGACCCAGGCAAGTCCAGACTAATGTCCCAGCATGGGTCTATAGTGGTGGAAACACCATGGCAGGCTTGACGGGTGACATCTGACTGCAGGCCACCTGTGAAAATTTGTGAAGATTTGGGATTGCTGGCCACTTTGCCAACATCATCGCCCTTGCAGTATCTGTGCAGAACATCTAGGGCAGCGATGAGGAACTCGTGGGCATCCTGCTGCCTGTTCCCTGGTAAATGACAAGTGTGTATCCACACCAGATGCAGTAACTTATGGGGAACTTGAGGAGATGGGTTCCAAGAGTACAATTCTCAACAGACATCATATAGACTACACATATCTGCACTTAATATTTCACTTAAACACCTGTTAGAAAAGACACCTCTCAATATTGATGTGTTGGAAAAGTCAGTGTTGTCAAGATGTGTTGACCCTCCCTAAACAGAGAACTCTCAACAGAGGAATCTAAAATGGCTGAAAGACACTTGAGGAAATGCTCAGCATCCTTAGCCATCAGAGAAATGCAAATCAAAACAACTCTGAGATTCCATCTTATACCTTTAAGAATGGCCAAGATCAAAAACACTGATGACAACTTATGCTGTAGAGGATGTGGGGCACGGGAACACTCCTGCATTGCCTGTGGGAATACAAACTGGTACAGCTCCTTTGGATATCAGTATGGTTATTTCTCAGAAAATTAGAAAACAACCTACATCAAGATCCAGCACTACCACTTTTGGGTATATATCCAAAGGATGCTCAATTGTGTCACAAGGACATGTGCTCAACTATGTTCATAGCAGCATTGTTTGTTATAGAAAGAACCTGGAAACAACCTAAATGTCCTTTGACAGAAGAATGGATAAGGAAAATGTGGTACATTTACACAATGGAGTACGACACAGCAGAAAAAAAGACATCTTGAAATTTGCAGGCAAATGGATAGATGTTTTATACTGAGTGAGGTACCCAGACCCAGAAAGACAAATATCACATGTACTCACTCATAAGTAACTTTTATACATAAAGCAAAGAAAAACCAGCCTACAATTCACAATCCCAGAGAACCTAGACAGCAATGAGGACCCTAAGAGAGACATACCTGGATCTAATATACATGGGAAGTAGAAAAAAACAAGAACTCCTGAGTAAATTGGGAGCATGGGGACCACGGGAGAGGGTAGAAGGAAAGGGGAGAGAATGTGAGGGGAGTAGAGAAAAATATATAGCTCAATAAAAATAATAAAAGATAAAATAAAAATTTAAGGAGTCTTAAAAGAGCATTTCAAGTATTTTTCACTACTTAACTTCTTCACTCTTCCTTTGCATGCACCTTCCTTTTAATATACTAATTTATATTAATAATATAATAATATGTTAATTATCCATCACACTAATTCCTTTATTTTCTGTCATAACAAATAATATATGTCTATGTGACTAAATATAAAAAGGTGTGTTGGTCCTCATAAGCCTATACTGAAGTTTGAGATAATTTTCTGCTCGTTGAATAATGCCCTGTTAAGTTTGTACCAAGAATAATCCTTCCTTGCTATAGGACAATGGTCTTGTACTCTGTAAAGATTTATTACTTGTATTTTAATAAAATGCTGATTGGCCAATAGCCAGGCTGGAAGTAGAAGTGGGGCAACCAAAACAGGAGAATTCTGGAAAGAGGAAAGGCTGAATTTGCTGTCGTCACCCAGACACAGAGGAAGCAAGATGAGAATGCTTCACTGATAAAAGGTTCCAAGCCACATGGCTAATACAGACAAGAATTATGGGTTAATGTAAGTTATGAGAGTTAATAAGAAGCCTAAGCTAACAGACCAACCAATTTTTAATTAATGTAGATCTCTGTGTGTTTCTTTGGGACTGAACGGCTGAGAAAACTGAGTGGGACAGAGACATCTGTCCACACTTCCTCCCAGGATGGAGCTATACATTCTGGTGAGAAATGTATGCTTGTAGTTTGCTTAGTGTCCTTAGAACTGCAACATTCAATACAACTCCCTCCAAACCCTGCATGAAGGTCCTTAATTAACTCCAGCACAGCTTTTTAACAGCATAAGGCCATGTCTCTGGGGTAACCCGATCTCTTTATTCAAATGCCTTATTGAGAAAGCTTGGGATGGCCATGTTTACTATTTCTTCTAGGCAGCACCCTACCATAGGGCCCCTACTTTCATTTTTAGTACATTTACTAAAACTGAATTACAGTTGTAAATATGTGCATTTGATCTCTCAAAAATATCTCTCAAGGATCCGAGAGCCATTCCCTTTCCTGTGATGCTTTCCTTGAGCATAGAAAGTGGGCAATTAGAACATTCCAACACATCTTCGTAGAAAAGACATTAGAAGGACTAGAATAACTTAGGAAACAACCTGTAGTGTCAGCATCTGTGGCTGAAGGCTCAGAGGATTTTAAATGAGGCAGAATCTTTTTTATTTATTTATTTATTGAAAAGTTATTTACATTGGTGTTTTGCATGCATGTATGTGTGAGGGTGTCAGATATTGGAGTTGCAGACAATTATGAGCTGCCATGTGAGTGCTGGGAGTTTAACCTGAGTCCTCTGAAAGAACAGTCAGTGCTCCTAACTGCTGAGCCATCCCTCCAGTCACCATGCCGAATTTCTTTGTACAAGACAAGATCCTGCCTTCACCAACCTTTTCAGGATCCATAGTCTTTACCACAGAGTGAACACACTGCCTTAGAACTTGTATCGAGGAGGGGGGTAATGAATGGGAAAACGTTCTGACTCACCCCTGTGCCTCTATGTCAGTGGTTCTCAACCTACCTACTGCCGTGACCCTTCAGTACAGTTCCTCATATTGTGGTGACCCCAACCCTAAAATTATTTTTGTTGCTACTTCATAACTGTATTTTTGCTACTGTTACGAATCATGATGTAAATATCTGATATGCAGGATATCTGATATGTGATCCCTGGGAAAGCATCCTTTGACTCCAAAGGGGTCAAGACGCACAGGTTGAGAACGTGCTGCTTTAAAGATATTATTGTAACTTCCTCTCTTTCCATTCATCTTCCCAGCTTCGATTCCAGCTCTAAGAAAGTCTTCAGTTCCCCACACCTTTCCCTTCACCACCTCCACAAGGTCTCTGCTTCTTTGTTTATTTAAAGGTCTAGGTAACGTGGGCTCCAATTATTCCTCTGCTAGTCTTCTCCCTTGACCACTTCATAAGTCTTGACACAAGGGGCACATGCTGGCCTGATGTCCATATAGAAAAAAAACCCTTCCTAGATATTAGGTGGGATAGGGATTTAGAGAAATAGAAATTCTTTTCACATCAATCTCTATGGGACCAATTAGAGGCTAACCCCAGGAGCTAAAGTGAAGAGAGGGTTATTATTCTTAAGAGGAGGGAGAGGGAGCGTAAATAATGTAATCCGGCTTTGATAGACCTGAGCTCAGATCAAACACTTAGTCTCTGTGAGCTTTTGCAGTGTCTTTTGTTAATTGAAAATTAAAAGTCCCGTCTGTGTTGCACGCTGAACCACAGGAAAGACTGTTCCTAACGTAACAAATTGGCTAATCATTTTTAACTCTACAGAGGTGTGACAGCCATACTCATTCAGTGGGAACAAAACTTCAAACCTTGGACTTTGCCTTTTGTTGTCGTAGAACTTGGAGTTATAATACTTGACAGCTGTGATCTGTAGCTTGCAGCCCGCTCCATATTCAAAAGCCACAACTACTTCACAGTGTATTTGATGTCTAAGCTACAATGTGGTTAGGTGTATTAAGGACATTTCTACATATGGTATTTTCAATCTGTGATGGGCTTGTCTGTACATAAACCTAGGTACACAGATGAGCATCCATATGCATAAAAAGGTCCTTACAGCACACATAAATTGTCACTTCTTGTGCTTGGTACAATGCCTGATAAATAGATTGCAGGAAAAGTGGCCAACTTTGGACTTCAGAGTTCTTTCAGAGTCACTGTCCAGCTCACCTAACATCCCTCCTTGTCAGTTCATATGTAGGAGCGTGCACTCAAGAAATACAAATAAACTCTTTTCACTAATATTCTTGTGCCAGGATATGTTATAAGGAGCACAAAGGAGTCAGGTGGTGGCAATGCACACCTATAATCCCAGCACTGGGGAGGAGGCACAGAGGCAGGTGGATCTCTTGAGTTTGAGGTCAGCCTAGTCTAGAGAACTAGTTCCAGGACGGTCAAAGCTACACAGAGAACCCCGGTCTCAAAAAAGAACACAAAAAAAAAGAAAGAAAAGAAAAGAAAAAGAACAAGGGACAGCACTTTGTGTAATAAAAGAATTCATATCCCAGGAGAAGTTCCCTTCCGTTTGACAGAAATAAAATGCAAGGTTACAGTCCCCAGAAAAACTGCTAAGCTTAGGAATTGCTGCCCTTCTGGTTAACTCTCGAGAATATTATTTACCAACAAATATGTCGACTGCAATATTAATTTCTCTGGGAAAGTTGCCATCTCCACTGAAACTTCATGATGAGGATTCAGCTCTGGTAGAGTTCCAAGTAGCACCCAATAGTTGACTCCCCAACATTCGAGTCAGTGACTTTAGAACAATGGTTCTCAAGCTGTGGGTCTCGACCCGCTCAGGAGTTGCATATCAGGTATTTACATCACGATTCAAAACAGTAGCAAAATTGCAGTTATGAAGTAGCAACGAAATCATTTAATGGTTAGGGGTCATCAGAACATGAGGAACTGAATTAAAGGGTTGCAGCATTAGGAAGGTCGAGAACCAACCACTACGATAGAACTTCAGATAAATTGATCAGTTTGAATTTTCTACCTGAGCACAAACTGGTGTGGTGTGAGAAAGAGAAACATCATGCTTCTCCAGTTGCCCTATGATGACTACGGGGTGAGAAGTTGAAATGAGTTCGTTTCCCTCGGAGGAAACTGGTTAGCAGGACTATTTCCCTGGGTGCCAAGAGAAAAGTTTTGCATACTTTACTATCATTAATTCTGTAACTGTGGACGAGCTATGTATCATCTAATGAAGCATGGTTTGTCCCAATAAGAGAAGTGGTTTTTCCATCACAGTAGCGAAGACCAAAAAGAATAAACTTGGGCACTGAGGTTCTCTGAGTCCTGTTTCAGAGGTTTTGCTGCATGTTCCTCAGGCTCCACTGCTTTGGGCTTTGTAGAAAAGCAGTCCACATTGTAGGAGTATGTGGGATAACAAGCCTGCTCACTTCACAGGGAATGACCCAGAGTAGGAGGATAGTATGAAATTTGGGGTGGGGGTGGGGGTCTGGCAGTTTTATAAATCACGAGGAACAAACACCACAGAGGTATGCTTTCTTTTTTTTTTTTTACCCCTTTCCATGCATATGCAAAATCCCTAAAGGCAGACTGTGGACTTTGCCTCCCTGGACTAAGGCTGCCCGAAGAGTGTATTTTTCTTTGTCTTGTGAATATGGACAAGTAATAACTGTAACTTTGCTACTGTTATGAATCATGATGTAAATACCTGCTTCTTTCTGGCTTCCTATAATCCCTACTGATAGGAGAGGTACATAAGGCCTGATAAGGTATATTGGCGGGTAAGAGCACAGCTGGGAGAAGCTGTACAATGCAAGAGAATATAGTTTGCACTTTGCAATATCATGCGATGGATTCTTCACTATTGTTCTGGAAACTGACATATCAAAATTACAGGAAAAGCCCCAAGGAGATTTAGCTCTTTTTAAAACAAGCCAACATTCCAGGACCAACACAATAGATGATGCGCATTGTCTCAAATCTCCACAATTTGCAACACTATCACTTGTGTTCCGTTTGGGGGCAACTGAATAAATTGGGTTTCTACATTTCTTTACTTCTTTGTTCTTCCTAAATAAAAAAAAATAGAAAATAAAGTTATGATAAGTTGACTTTCAGACAAAGTAAAAACTACCTTGAGTGGAACTGTTTTTGTAACAAAATGACATGTCCCCAACCAACCACCTATCATCCAGATGAATTACACCGTTGGAAAAAGCAGCACAAGGAGATGGAGAAATAATTGCCGTACGGGCTGACTTGCTTGCTTTACATGGTCTTATCTGAGATGATATCATTCTGACTGCCCTAAGAATGTTGACTTTTTTTAACATTTGAAAATATCAAATAAAAGTGGATACACAAATATAGACCATCTGAATGCATCAAGAGCAAATGAAAAAGATGCTTGAAATGCCATCAGCATTCTTCAGTAGGTATGAAGAACTTCTACCTACTATGTAATATGTAATCATTTGGGGCCATGAAATGCTGAGTAGCTCAAAAGTAGTCAAAGTGAGTAATACACTGGCAATTTAGACACAGGGTCTCTCATGTTAAACTGTCTGCTGAAGTAAGAAGACATTATAGAAATCTTACAGATCAGAAAATAAAGTTCAAGATCATCTTTTTTTGTTTATTTCCTTCTTTCTTCTCCAGTCAGTGTCTCACTCTGTAGCCTTGGCTGTCCTGTAGCACTTGAATTTCCTTACAGTGATCAGCCTGCCTCTGCCTCCTAAGCATTGGGATTACCTGACTCAAGATAACCAATTGTTTTCAGAACATCAACTCTTAACCCAATCACAGGGGACAAAAGAGCACAGATAGTTGACCACATGTATATGCACTATATACACTATGCCACTTTAACATGGAGTATAAATATCGGTAATTATTTCAACTAATTATTATTTTGTATTTCTTTCTTTGGTTATCTAAATGTTATTGCTTCAACAAAATAATGAGAATAACAGTGTGTAAATGAGACAAGAAAATATAATAGACTAATAGACTAAGTAGTGGTACACATATACATTATTACTTGAACAGCCTAAGTTCCCAGACAAAAAGAGCCTCGGCTCTATTACTGATTTTTAAGGACAGTTGACTGATTAGAACTTTTATGATTGTGGATTGTAGAAATGTTACAGCCCTGCAGCTAAATTATCTTGGATCTGTAGCCCTTTATTAGCCATCATTACTTACCTCTGTGCATGATCTTTGTGACTATTAGGTAAACCCTTACAGGTGTCTAGTTTCTCCCAAACCAAAGGCTAAGAATATCATCAGTTGACATCTCAGTCCTATAGCATAGTTTTCCCTGCTTTATCTACCTACCCAATAATACCACTAATGTATTTTAAAGTGTTTTCATCTATTTCTTTCTTTTATCTTTAATTGGTTTTAGAGATGACGTCTTACTACACAGGCCTGGCTGGCCCAGAATTCCCTCTGTAGACCAGGTTGGCCTCTATCTTACAGAGATTCACCTGACTCTGCCTCCTGAGAGTTGGGTTGAAAGGTGTGAGCCACCATGCTCAGCTGTTCTTTAATGTCTAAAAACTTCAAGAAACTGTTGCCATATTGGAATATGGTTTTTGAGGCAACTTTAATCTGTGTTCTTGGGTCACAGTCATTCATATTTAGCTCCAGAATATCTTTTACCCCTGTGAGGTGAGAGCTGTGTTTTTCAATCAACAACATAGAATATGAAACATAAAGATTCCTATGAAATTATTTATTACTTTTTGTTCACCTACACAAGTGATGTTTTCAAACAAAGCTACAATATGAGTCATAAATAATAGCAAATAATAATAATAGTGATGGTAATTAAGTAGTATGTATGAAAAGTTTAATGACACTTTTTACAATGCTTTCTGTTGCCTGATCTAGAAACATTTGCAGTTCTGGGCTATGTGCCTGGTGGGATAGTATTCTGCCACTAGAATTCTGCCACTAGGCTACATCCCCAATCCCCCTCGTTATTTGTTTTAATTCCAACTTATATAAAAATGTAATTTAAGACCCAAGAAACTCAGAAATCTGTGCTTCACTAGCAGCCTCCCCGAGGTTGTATAAGAGGCACATGACTGCTTTGAAGTTGAAGACTCTTCAGTGGTGCTGCCTCTTGTGCAAGGTATCCAGGGCTCATCCTATATTCATTGCCACTGATGCTGTCGTGGGCATTTTGGGGACAAGCAGCCCACGGTCCTGTAAGTTAATCCCAATAAAGTCATTATACCATCAAAATAAAAGAAACGCAACATAAGACCTAATACCTGAATATAGGAGAGAAAGAGAGAGAGAGAGAGAGAGAGAGAGAGAGAGAGAGAGAGAGAGAGA